CTGCTGTTTTTGCTGATTTAGATCATGACCCTCACAGCAAATCTAGTTATAATGACAGTCATTAGGACAGCTCACAGCCTGCACACACCCACATGCTTCTTCCTTTTCATCCTGTCCTTCTCTGAGATCTGCTATACTTTCATATCAGCCCCACAAGGCTGAACAGTTTACTGCAAAGTAGTAAAACGATTTCTTTTTTCAGCTGCACTGCATAGGTGTATTTTGTTGGTTTTGCATATACAATTGTTACTTTATTTCTCAATTTATAGGATATGATTGGTACATAGCAATATGTAAGCCTCTGACCTACAAGAGCACTGGGAGTGAAAGGACAAGTATTTGCCTTCTATTAGAATTGTGTTCCCTTGGTTTCCTGATATCAGTGGTGACTGATATCCTGATAGTCACGTTACCCTATTGTGACTCCAGTAGGATTAGTCACTACTTTTGTAACATAGCTGCCATGGGGAAACTGAGTCGCACTAACACCTACATGAAGGAAATCACAATCTTTTCCCTCACCCTCTTTGCCATCATGGCACCCTTTATATGGAAAAATTCCATACTAGTCTCTTCTCAGTCTCATATTTTTGGTTTTTTCCCCCCTTTCTCACCTGTCTGTCAACTGGTTGCTAAGCAACCAGCTCTGCCTATGTGACCTGGACCAGGTGAGAGGGGAGTAGACCAAGCTCTCTATTGTGTTAGCATTGACCTCATGGCATGGGGGCAGGGGTGTGACCCCGTCACTCCAGGAGCTGACTGATGAATGCTTTTTAAATTGCTTGGTTAGTGTTCAACTATACCTGGCCAGGATTTGGTCAGGTAGGTGATGTCAAAAGGCCTATATAAGCCAAGACTGTCCAGGAGGAGGGGAGAGCAGCCATGTTAAGCATCACACAGCAACTGGAACATCTCTCTCTCGCTCTCAGGATGCTAAAGTGAGTAAACTACTTGGAACTTACCTAAATATATAGTTTGCTGTAATGTAGAAGCATATCAAACAGCTACTTAGCTGACACTGTTTACTCTAAAGTTATTTTTTGATAATTCTCTCACCTGTACCCTCCCCCAAGCCTACCCTCTGTGACCAATAAAGCTCTCCACTCTACAAGTGTGGTGAACTCATTGGGAGAGGGATTGGGGCATGCCTTCAAACTCCCTATGCTCAGCTGACTAAGGGAGGCTACTTTTTGGTGCTTCAGGCTAAGGGAAGCACCCCAGGTTCTAGCAGTGGGTCAAGCATCCTCAAGGTCTACAAGGCCTGTAGTCTACAAGGCCCAGGGGGCACAGGGCTGAAACACAGACCAGAACTCCTGGGTGGTGGCAGCAGTGATCCCAAGCTTGCAGTTGTGCTCCAGGAAGGGGCTTGGCCAGATGGGAAGCACTCAGAGCTTGGTAGGTGGATGGGTGCAGGGAGGTGGGTGGCTCAGATCAGGAGCGCCCCCTACTGGCCCACCACATTTTGTGCTCCTGTTTATCTTCTACTTGTTCATCTTCAGCCCTATCCTGCAGATTCCCCCTGTGGAGAGTAAGCATAGAGTCTTTGCTACCAGCAGTGCCCATCTCAACTCGCAAGCTATGGTTGTATCTCCTTCACCCACCTGGGGGCTGAGTCCACTGACTCATTGCACCTGGGCAGGTTGATCATGGAGACTGACATAGTGGTGATGTCCCTATTGAATGTAATAGTTTATAACCTGAGAAATGCAGAAGTCAGAGTAGCTGTCTGAAAGGTAATATGCAGGTACATGCTCCCTAAAGCAGTTTTGGGGCAGCCTTCATCTGTTGCTAGAGCTGAGGAAAAAATATTTTCCCCCCCCACAGAAGAAATTTTAGTTCTTTTTTTTGTTTGTTTTGTTTCATAGAAGTGTTCAGCAGAAAGTGTTGACCAGTCAGCTTTTTCCTCCTTCATGTTTGGAAGTCAAAACCCAATTCATTTGAAAATAGACTTAACTTTTGAAAAAATAAGGTGCGTTTTGTGCAAATATTACTTCAGTGTTGTCTTCTGACCAGGAGCAGAGAAAGAGAGACACTTGACAGATTATTATTAGACTCTTCATGACATCCAGCTTTTCTGACTGACTGGTCTCCTGTCTATTTGTCTGCTAGTCTATCATTGAGTGTAAGTAAGATTCTTCAGTCCCATTACAACAACATCACATTTATATCAGAAGGCTCAATGCCCCCATTCTGATAATAGTACAGAAGAAAATGGAAATGATTGAGATTGATCTGATAGGTTATCTGCACCTCACAAACACAGGAAGTTGAATATCTGAGCTCTACTGTGCACCAAAGAGAAGCTTCTAAAACAGCTGGACTATTATGTGGAAGGTGTAAGAGTCCTGCACTGCCTCAGAACTGTCAGTCAGTACATCCCAGTACTGGAGTGCACACTAGATTTAAAAGCAGTGAATATTGTGTATATGCTGATGACATGCTTCATCCTGAAGTCTTAGGCTGCGCTTTGGTGTTACTCATTCCTGAAGGAGATTCAGTTTGACCAAGTTAGTGCCTAAGATCCCCGCACAGTTAAATGAGGGACTTAATGAGCACTTAAGAGTTATTCTGTATTAGCTGCCTAGCAGCCAGCACCACCAAAGGGTGTCTGTTGTCTAAATTTCACAGGTATCTAGGGATAGCTATAGGAAACACTAAAGCAACCTTTTTTATCCTGTGGACTGGCATGGGAGCAGGATTTGGCGCATGGAGCCAGCTGCCTCCCTGCCTGGCCTGCCCCCCCTCCAGCTTTAACCTCACATGTGACCACTGGCATTGGAAGCCACTCACCCTGGCAGACGGTTGGGGAGGCCGAGGAGGGGGCTTGTGCCATGAACTGACAGCTAACCCTTTGTGGCCCAGTACTGGGCTACAGCCTGGTGATTGGGAACTTCAGCTCTAAAATGCTGGGGAGTATCTGAACTCTCACCCATCTCTGGCACTTAAATGGCTGACTTACAATATCCATTAAGCATTTTTATTCACTTAAAATTTACAGAACCTAGTGACTTCTGAGGAGGGCTGCCTAATGGATTTCTGATATTGGCCAGTGGGGAAGGGTGGAGTCCTACTCACCATTTTCCTACTGATTAGACCATTCACACAGGAAGTCAGAAACTCGGGAAAGGGGACCACTCCATCTACCACTTCTTAAGAGAGTAGCCAAACAACGAGGTTGTAGATAAGCCCACTCAGGGTACTGTCCATTTGTCCTGTTAAATGCAAAATATAATGTACAGTACAGTGCATAAGTAATCCTGTCAACAGGGACTTCAGCTCGGCACTCTCCCTTCTTCAGGAAGTGCTATAAATACTAGGCTAGAGAAGTAGGCCCCTTTTTACTTTCCCAGGATTGTTTATGCAATTTACTCTATGCATTGGAAAATTAACCCTGGCAACAGGGACCAGAACCTGGGGTACTCCTCTATCTGAAGAGCGCATGAACGATTAGGTTGCAGAGGCAGGGTCTCCCTGACTTGCTTCCCTTCTCCTTGGACTCTTTCAAGGACCAGTGAGCAATGGCTGGTGTGCTCTGCTTGGTGTCCCCCCTTGGGGCACTTGTTATTAACCTCTGTCCCTCACAGCTGTCCCAAGGAATCTGCTGGTGCATGCTTAATAGCCCCCTATAAAAACAGAGGGGGCTAACCATTCCCATGTAGTCTTTTGTGATGATTCTTTTGTGTACCAAGTAGGCCTGATTTTTTTTCTCCCCTTCTGGCTCTATGGATCTTATTGTCTTGGCTTCCCAGTGGCAGGCCATGAGAAAAAACACCCTCATTTTACCCATTCTGGAGCCTCATGTTTGGGGCCATTGGAGGACATGTGGACTCAGATACCCTCAGAGAAAGATGTTCCAGTTGCCAGGTCTCTGACTTCTTGGAAAAATGGTTTAACTGTTGGGTTTCTGGGCAAAGCAGATCCCTGTTAATTGTTTACGTTGAATGTATTGCTGTTGAAGGCACAGGAGTTCTGTTTGGTAGTTTCCTGCTTGCTAGTCTGGTCTCTCCAAGGACAAAGGCAGAACTTTGGTGCCTCCTGGGAATAATTTGAATCACAACAAAAATGAAGCTAGAGATAGGTCCCATGGAGAGCCTAAGCATTCTCTGTGAATCATTGCTGAGTATGTACACAAGCCCCTGGGAAGATACCTAGGGGATTTTGCAGTTCAAAACCCAGAAGTCTAATAAGTTATTTGTCTGCTAGTATAAGGCCAATTTCTATTGGTCCTCAGAGCACAAGTGCTTAATATCTTCTGAAGTCCCATTTGGGTTCATAAGAAACCAAGTTGAATAACACCCTGATTGACTGTCTTCCTTTTTCTTTAACCCAGAAACAAAGGAGACGGTGCATAGGTTTTCATGGGAATTCAGCTCATCAGTCCTATCATTTACTTAGACTTTACTTTCCATTTATTTTGAGGGGTGTCCATGTGTTTTCTTGATTTCAGGTACCCCCTGATCCTAGATTCTGTGATGCCCTTTACTTTGGAGGCTTAGCCAATGCAAGACCACCAGTGGCTTTCTCTTCCTTAAAAGATCCCTCTTTAAAATTTAAGACACAATGGATTGTTATACAATACCA